CAGAATTCCCCAGCCAGCCATGCTGGCTGGGGAATTCTGGGAATTGAAGTCCACGCATCTTCAAGCTGCCAAGGTTGAGAAACACTGTTCTAGCAAGATGCCAGCTGCACTGGTACTGAGGGCTCAAGAGGCGAAGGGGGCTTTGCTCCATAGAAACCACTGTCTGGGGTGCCAAGCCCCTCCAGCTACCATCAGAAAGACGCAGCACCATTCAGATTACAGCAACGATTAGCTCCCGATTCACGCCTGCACTTGTTCATAAAATTTACCTTGCTTTGGTCAACCACTGCATAGTATTCTAGGTACCTGACAGGGGCATGAGAGCCAAAGGTGGACTCCTGGAACAGAAAATAAGATTATAATAAAAGGTTCATAGAATAAATTAGACCTGATCTTGATCTCTGGGACAAATTTCCAATAGTCAGATAATTAAACAGTACTGTACAGATAGTCCTGGCTTAATGACCCCAATAGGGACTGGAAAATTTGTTGTTAAGTGGGGCGGTTGTTAAGCGAGTCGTGCCTGATTTTACAACTTTTGCAGCAGTCATTAAGTGAATCACTGTGACTGTTAAGCAAATCACGCATTCATTCAGCGAATCATGCGGTTCCCCGCTGATTTTGCTTGCTGGAAGCCAGCTGGGAAGGTCGCAAATGCCAATCATGTGACCCTGGGACGTTGCAACTTACGTGCGAGCCGGTTGCCAAGCACCTGGATCACCATCACGTGACTGCAGGGGTGCTGCGACAGTCACAAGGGTGAGGACCGGTTGTAAGTCCCTTTGTTCAGCACCATTGTAACTTTGAATGGTCTCTAAATGAATGGTTGTTAAGTGAGGACTACCTGTATTGGTATTGCTATTTTTTTGTGGTTTTCTTTTGCCCATTATTGCAATATTATTTGTATCCTTTTAACAATCTTATTTGCCTAGAGCCTTCAATATGAGGCAGTTGATAAATCTCATAAACAGACAAATAAATGGGTTTCTAGGCTTGCAGAATCTACAATTTAATCACGCAATGGGTTATTGTTCTTGGCTGCCAGTGCCTTGACATTATTTGACCCCAACAAGCTCCCTGCCTAGAACAAAATCCAGCAGTGAGATTTGGTTGGCGCTGCGCTGGGGCTCCCTGAAGGGGGCCGCAAAGGCCATGGGGGTCAAAGCTACATTGACTGTCAAAATTTACATTGGATAGTTCACAGTGGAAGCTTTGATACAGAACATGATCACATACCGTGTCATTTATGGGCTGGACAAGCTC